TCGTACCGAGAACTGAAAACCACACGCAGATGAGAAGAAAATAGAACTTCATTGACTTGAAGAAACCATTATATTTTGATAAACATATGGCCACAAAACGATTAACCGTCAATAGAAATGTAAAATGTAACATACCAAAAAATGAAATTGTATCCATCAAAGCAAATATTCTCTGGATTAATGTTGGCTTATATGCTAAAATGTTAATCAATTAGTTAATTAAGGAAAATTTGTTTAGTATGTACAAATTTGCCTACGCACACCTTTGTGAATTAATTCATTTCTATCTCATTAATTAATCGTGCAACCAGATTATTTTAAATTTATTACGTGTATCTTCTCAACAAATGATAATAAGTGGATAATATGAAAGAGAAGAAAAGAACTTACAATGAGAAATTTTCTTCTTTACTATTTCAGGTATGACAATGATTATTTGTGTAATAAAATCCAAAAAGCTGCAAATAATAATTTGGAATGCGATAAAGATAAATGGACGACTGTAAATATTGTCGCAACTACAGAATACCGCCGTCAACAGTATATTGCCAACAATACCATACACCAGGATTAGAGAAAACAATATAGTTGCGACGTATTTTTTTGACATGTTATGGTCGTCCCTTATGTCGAAAATATCTGTCATATTCCCATTGTGACAGTTTAATGGTGGTAATATTAGGAATAAAACAATAATACAGTGAGAATGATTCATTGTTTTTGTTCACCGATAATTTTTCTGAAACATTCGAATTTACATCACTGAAGTTATTGTGTAAAATGGGTTTCAATTAGTTGGGAGTTTCAATGACAGAAGTGTCAATGCTTCAAAATGCTTTCTTTTTGAATTGCAAGACAGTACATTGCAATCAATATGGCGAAAATTTAATACATATAAATTGATTACCAGGACAAGTTCTTATTTTGGTTGTCGCAATATGTATGTTCAATCTTAAATCTGAGGAATAAAGGTTCGCACCCATTAAAATTTTGAGCTGAACGAGGATCTTAAAGTATGTAAACTTTTCCGCTCTCTTCACAACAGGTATTGTTAGCTTGAAATTAAGCTGATAAAGTAAAACAGTGAAGTGTTCAACTTTTTCAAGTATATTATAATTATATATTACCTATATCTGATAGAAGAAATGAAAATGTCAAGTTAAATATCGTATGAAAAATAAAAGATTTCACCACTGCTTCAATTCTAAAATTCCATTTCTTGAACTAAAGTATATTTATAGCAAATAACAATTAATTTACTTAACTCTTCGAGTGTTACTAACATATAAATAATGTATCAGAAATATTGCAATAACATAATTAAATAAATTATCATTCATCTCTTGCCGTATTCCTAATAGCTGTTGGTTTAATGATTTTTTATGAGATTATATAGAAGTCTAATAGTTTCAATATCACGCAATAAAGTGATTACTGCAACTGTCGTCATTGGTGACAGAAGTAGAGAAAGTTGAGATGGAAAAAACTGCTAATTATGGAAGTTTATTGTCTGATGAACAAAAACTTTGAAATTGACGTGTAACAACAGATCTACAACAGATCTGAACAGACCTATTGTTCTGAATATTGCATATGAAGTGAAAGAAATATTTATTGAGAAATAAAAAGATAAAAAAATCAAAGATGATTTTTATGAAGTGATCATATTATGATTACATCATTTGGTCTCATCAAAATAAACATAATATTAATTATGATATTTTTTTCCTCATAAAGATAAGTATAGTAATCAAAAATAATGAGAATTTGGACAAATGATTCATCATATTAGATATTCTTCTATTTATTAAATTACAATGAATCACTTGAAATAGAAATATTTTCGCAGCACAAACTGTTTTTTTATTATTTCCGCATATCTGTTATAAATTATTTCGGGTTTCCGACATTTAAAACACTTCGAGGTGATCTAATGGATTGATCCTAATTTTTGGATTTTATGGTAAATGCAATCAGAAAGTAAGATTAAATGATACGTTTGGCTTAGTCGACAGAAATTGAATGCTGTATATGTATTTTGTGTTATATCCTTAATAAAACAACATCTCTTCAACAAATTTGAGCGGAAGCAATAATTAATTAAATTACTTAATGATAACAAAGGCAAAAAATAAAAATGAAATAATTTACAATGAATTGAATGTAAATGATATAATTGAATTCATTTTTGAAATGAATTCATAAATCAATAAAATGGTATGATAATAGTAATTAAGATATCGGCAATAACAGAAGATGAAATAATACATCAATGAGATTTTTCGCTTATTTAATTCCCCTTTATCCATTTCAATCTGTTTTTCCCTCTCATAAAGAGTTCCAAGTGAAAGATTGCTGTCAAAATAATTAATCATCTTTGCAATCATTTCTGCATCAAATGTACATAATAGCCAAGTATAAAAAGATTCAAGGATCTACAATATCATCTAATAAATGGCCCACATAGTGTAACAATCAAATGCTGCCGATATAACTATTAAGCCAGTTATGCAAATCCGAAGAATATAGTCAGAAAAATCAAATACCACCCAAGCAGTCTTTTAAGCACTACTCAAGTCAAAAGGAAAATCATGTATGAATTGATATTGCAGTGATATCTGAACTAGAAGTCATGCATTGTTATATCAGTGTTAATAGCTCCGTTAACACTCATTGCACATTGGAGGTTTTAGTAAATGATAATGTATAATAATTTGCAATAACCGAAAAATATTACAACGTTTTTCTGAAAGTGATAAAAAGGGCCGCGATGAATAACTTAAAGAATGTATATGAGATTATCCTAAAAATTACTGAATTACCACAAGTAGTTGTTGCTATATTAGTACAATATCATAGTAGACAAATCAACGGCCTCTTAACGAATAATGCTTAATAAACAATCGGCTAGGGCATGATAAAAATGAAAGTGAGGCAGTAATAATTATAATGTATTTCAATTTCTGGAATTTAATTCCAACAGAAATTGTTTTTACGAAATTAAATTGTGCTTGCTGCTGGCAATTGCAATTATAAAGCAATTATTAAAAAGGAATAATTAATCAAATAGGTAATCTAAAATTGCTGACGTAGCAATTAATTTGTATTCCTATTTTACAAAGTAATTTAGTAAACAGGAAACCTAGAACTACTAAAATATGAAATAATTGCTGTGTTAATAATTTTAGATTACCTATCCTCTTGCTACTATGTTTTGTTTTGATATTTTTGACCATATGGTGTAAAAAATGAAGCACACTTTGAAAAAAATGGAAAAGAAAAATGCACTAGAAACTGTTATTAGGTAGAAGTTAAAATTCACATTACCTGAAAATTATTTGTAGTAATTTATATTTGCATTGTCGTCCAGAAGTTATGCTTTAACATTTAACCCATTTATTTGATTATTAATATAGTCTAACTAAAATAGAATTGCATGATTTGTTAGCTTATTTATAAGAATGAACCAAGAGATAGAAAAAAGTTTATTTGAAAAAGGTTGTCCTCTTTTCTTTCTTATCCTATCAGTAACTGCAACTTCCCAGTGTTCCTCTACGAAGTGGTAAAACTAATTTATTTTAAGATCCTCATTAAATAAAATTTTCAGAAAATCTAAATCCATAATATTTGCTATCGATACCGAAAACTTTTCAATGATTAACGCCACTTTTAAGGGAATGTTGGAGGAGAACATTCTCATAGGATGCAAAATTATCCGAATCAAAGCGGATCTTCCGAGAGCGATAAAAATCAATGCAGTTTTTGTTTTTTGGCAGGTGTTATGGTCCAATTCCATGATTAATGCTATAATCATTGCCTGTTCTTAAGTACGCAAGCATATAAATGATACGGAGAATTTTATTCATTGAAATGAACATAAAATGAATAATATACAGGTAAAGAATAATAGTAACAGCAAGAGCAAGAATTCGATAAATGAAATACAGAAACAATTTGTAGGAAAGTATTAGAAATACCAGTGAGTATTTCAATTTGAAATTTAGTTGTTTCCTTTTTTTATGTGATTTCATCTTATCCTTTTGGGAGAAACGTTTTCCGGATATCGAACAATTGTACGGCTTTTCACGGTATGAATCAATAATATATGTCTTTTCAAACTGGATGGCTGAGAGAAATTATTTCCACATGTCTGACATTGGTATGGCTTTTTACCAGTATGAATTCTCTTATGTGTTCTGAAATTCGATGAATCAGAGAAGTTTTGTCTGCATGTCGGACATTTGCGTAACTTACCACCGGCATTTCTTCGATAAACATCACACTGTAATTTTTGTTCAGAATTCGCTTCTTGGATTGTTAAATTCGATGATTCCACCTGTTCTTTATTCTCTTCATTAATTGACAAGTTCCGCACTTCTATTCGTTGCTTACCCACTTTTCGCACCGATAAATCCAACGGCTCTGTCTGTATCGTTTGTGCTTCCTGAAATTACATAAAATTATTCATTTTACCTAATGTTGAAATTTTAAAGTCTTTGATTATTTTTTTCGACTATTAATGAACTTACTGTAATTGGGATGTTTAGTTGGGAATAGAAAAGGTGGAAGAAGTTGATGAAATGCATATTTCTGGATATTGCTTGCCAATTCTAAGAAATATCAAATTTACCAGCACAATATGAATGGTTGCTTATATATATATATATGAGAAATCACACTGCTCGCTCTTTGACAAATTGCTTAAAAAAGATATTTCTTTCAAACAATGCATTTCGAAATATATTAGCATCGAAAAGCAAACTGTCGCGAAATCATTGCTAATACAATTATTATATGCAAACAACACGCATAGCAACTTATTCTCGCTCTAAGCTAAATTTTATAGATACGATTATAGTAATAAAGTTTTTTACATAACGCGAAATTTTGGGAAGAGACTGCCATTCTTTGTTGAAATAAATAAAACAGCATTTACTGAGCGAAATTTGTGGAATGACAGAGATCGCCAAGTAGCTTTTATTGGAAACTGTCAGAAGATCATATCTGTAAATGCTTATAAAGTTGGGAATGACAAACAAAGTGTATTAATAATTCATATCTGACAATAAAATAAAGCAAATGATGCTTAATCTATCATATTCAATAATTTCATTTCAACTATTATATTGAATTGTGACAAATTATTTAGGCAGAGCACTGGCAACATTTTTTGCATAACATATCATTTCAGTTTTTCCATGCCTTTAAAATTGAGGTGATACTAATGAGAAGGAAAAATCTTGTAATTTATATTATTGATTATTGATATATGATTTTGAAAAATGCATACTATTGATTGTAGCCTTGAAAAGAGCTTTTCATCGAATGGGAAATTAGAACTAATAATATGCCATTACATTCACTCTTACTTAAATTTCAACAATAAAAAAAAGTTTCTTTTGCCAGAATTCAACTTGCAGTAGAAAATAAATTTTATCAAAATTAACTTTTTCTAAATCGTACGTCAAGAAGCTTTTGAAGTACACTAAATGTCGAAGGAGATCAGTGGTGATTGGTAGTGCTGCCAGATAGAAAATTTTCACCAGACTGCATTCCATCGAGGATTCCGATGAACATCGAATCTTTACAACCATTGAACCGAATAAAATTTAGTAAAATACCTTAGCTTTATTACAGTTCTACAAATAATGCTTTGCACAATTAATAGTATTTACGCCTCAAGCAAGCGCTTTGTTATTACATTAGCGTTCAAGTAGATAAAAATCCCATTGCTTAATGTTTATAGGATATTTTGATATTTTCCATCTACTTTAAACAAAACATAAATTTTTCTTATAATTACAACATTGATATGTGGTGGGTATTTTAATTAATATTATTAATTACAATACGGTATTTATATTAGAAGTGGCTCGTGCCAAAGTGAGAGCTGTCAGAGATTAGTTAAAATATTTAGTGTTCGTATGACAAAATGTGATTGCAGTAATAAGTTAGTAACGTTGCGAGTTATTTAGGCTAAATAGCATCTGTTGGAAGTCCTATTGCAATTTTAATTGTGATGATCGTTGTTTAACAGATTTTACTTGTCGTCAACGAGACATCGCACAAGTTATGCTTTTCTCTTTCTGTTTTACTTTTGGTAAGTTTCGTTTAATATTTTGCTAGTTCGAGTCAAACAGTCTAATTAACTCATAGATTTAATGTATCATAACCTCTCTTAGCACAGTGGATAGAAGATAAAGAAAAGGCCATACTTTTCATTCAATCATTTATCCTTTAATGTAAATATCAGTGAAGTAGCATCATATCCTATCGTTGTAGCATTTTTTGTTCTAACAAACGTGGCAGCTTACTGCTCTAAACTGTTCGAGATGGAAAACGCGGATTTGTACAATGCATATTTAAAGCTGGTCAGCTACAATACCGCCAAGTTGGACGTCCTTGCCATTATGTTGCATCGACAAGAGGATATATTGCTGTGGAAATTGCAGCGCTTTCCATTTCTGTTTTCTTTTCAAATTTTACTTCAACCTTCCATGAAATCAAAGATGAAAATCGTAAAGCTGAAGCCAACGTCTCAATCTCAATCTGTGAATTGCTTGGTTGTTTACGGATCATTTGCTAATTTATTCATTCCAAATAAATCAATTTATTCGTTTCTTTAGCCAGGATCTTTCTCTCTATAACGTCTCATCACGATCTTTACATCTGGTTATCAAAAGGTTGAACTGAATTTTCTCTCTTATGCCTGTTGGGATCGGAGACATGACTTGTCGATTAGGTAAAATCAGTAAAGGAATGATCAATGATTCATAGCAAATAAATAGACCATTGCAAGTTTTATTAACATATCGTAATTTCTTTAATTTCAAAAATATCCATACATTTTTTAGCTGCAACATACAGTGAAATGTTCTAGGATGCCGTTGCAAATATCGACTATTCCATCACGGATTTGATTGTAAAGGTCATAGAGGACACAGTTTATTCAATTGTTACTTATTAAATCTAATGAAATCAATTTGATTCAAAGTTGACTTCAGGAACGACTGGAAAGAGATACAATTCAACTCACATTCCAAATTATGCTTAAAATGTCAAACAAAATTTGAATTTGCAAGATTCGCAAGGATAAACAGTAATAGCTTGAATAAGATAATTTCTATGAATTATCTTACCTTAGCGATTCACAAAATCAAAATTAATGATTGAAATGTAGGTTAACAGAACAAAATCTCTAATGATAACAGTGGTTAGATAAGAACGAGTCTAGTATCAAGGTGTCAGTTTCTGAGGGCCTAATAGTCTTCTCATTCAGCAGAATGTTTTCCTAACAAATATTTTAAACAGGAAAATTTTAGTATGCTTGATGTGAAACATAAAATTTGAACGATTGTTCTCTCAAGAAATTGTTTCCAAGTTTGCAGGAGGAAGAAAATTAGTATCATGCTGACGTGTGATCATTGTTGCTAATGTGTGTTTTCGAAAGATTCCAAAGATTGTCTTCCTATTTTGATGATGATTCTATGTACAGTATTATAGGCAAGCAATATCGATTACCGAATGATTTTTTTGTCCCAGATTCATCATGTTCAATACTGACGCATGCTGAACTTCTTTCTTTACGCTTTTCCATCAGAAGACAAGTGGAGTTACTTCCTCTATCTCTTTGATCTGATCGTTTTAATTTGAAACTGAAACTTAATGAACGTAAAGTTGACGACCAAATTGTTTCATGAAACGTTGAAATGTATTTCAAACAAATACAAACGATAATTATTGCAATAAAATACTAATCATTCCTTGTGAACTCATATTTATAAGCAAATTTCGTTGATAGCTGAAAATATCACAGTTGAAAATCACCGTTATTCAAAGTTACATGAATAGAATTAGTTGTATTAAACATTCAATCTTGAATAGATGGAGAGCAATTCAAAGTTGTCTCTGTGATTTAGCGGAAAGTTTTCTCTTCTATCGCGATCGTTAGAGAAAGCTAAATGAATACAAATCTCATTTGCAAGTTACCTGTAATTTAGTGGAATTTCAAAAAATTATCGATAAATAATCAAACTTTCAAATGCAAAAGTATCTCACTACAAAATAGTAGCATTTATTTTGAATGAAAAATTTTGAAGAGGTCAAAAATCAAGAGCAAGAAAGAAAATGAAACAGAGTTAAAGGAAATGTCAGTTAGCAATTCTTGATCCTTCATTATACCTCAGTTTTTCCCTCACATCCGTTCTTTTTCTTACTGAGATTTTTAAATTGATGTATTTGAGCGCCAACCATGCAACATTTAATATCACCTCTTTAAGGTACACTTAAAGAAGGAGTGAAATCAGTGATAAAGAGAGTACTTGAATATCGGCAGCTCCTTTTTTAATCTATTTTTGATTGCTGTAAATGTTCGCTATGTGGTATTCTGAAATCATGCCAGAATTTATGAAGCATTTTATTATAGTTTAGTAACCAGGATAAAGAAAAGCCATTCCAAGAGAGGAATAATGGCACTTAATAGTCCCTTCAAAAATTTGGTAATACTTCCTTTCGGTGTTTCTTTTATTAGCACGTTTTTGAAAATCAGTGAGATGAATTTTTTGGATTTGCTTCAGAAATGTGGCAAATTATTCTCTCTTCAAAATAAATAACTGTAATAATCACAGATTCTTTGAATTATTTTAGAACTTTCGTTTCCTTTGATAGTAAAATATTTAAAATGTGTTGGTTGATGTTCAGCCATTTCAATTTCCCAGAAAATTTTTCAATCAAATGTAAAACAGTTATTACCTCAATAGTTTCGGATGGCATTAATTTATCTGAACATTGCCTAACG